AGAAGGACAAGACGAAGACACGAGGAGGACAAGAGAAGGACACGAGGAGGACAAGAGGAGGACAAGAGGAGGACAAGAGAAGGACAAGACGAAGACACGAGGAGGACAAGAGGAGGACAAGAGAATGACAAGAGGAGGACAAGAGAAGGACAAGACGAAGACACGAGGAGGACAAGAGAAGGACACGAGGAGGACAAGAGGAGCAGGAGGACACAGGGTTGGCCAGCGCGGCCAGAGGACAACAGCAGACAAAATCCAAACACAAAGCTCGGACGCAGAGTTCAGGGGCGCGGCCAGCCAGTGTGGCCAGCTCCTTTTTTTTCCTAAGAGAGAACCCCAACAGTAAACTGTTTGGGGAATTGTATAAATATAAAATATAGGCATACATAAGTACTTGCAATGCTTTCAATGGACTGCCTATTCTTGAAGGTGATTTTACGGGCACAGGCACCATACGCATATCACATTCAAAATTGCTACTTTCTACTTTCAATGACTACACAAAAATTTCAGTCTGCACAATCTCAATGACCTCAATTTGAGATTTGAGAGTCAGCCCCGTGAGGAAAGGAGATTGTGATTTGGACTTTTCTAGATGTATCAAGTGACTTCATATATTTCCTGGATCCAATCCAATATTCCTCAGCACTCTCTGAGAGAAGCATTGATATTGGATCCACAAAACATCTAGGTACATCTAGACATTCTGCTGAGTGGCTCCTGCCTGAAATCAACTGTTTCGTCTAGTTGTGTCATCTAACCGTAAACCCTCTGACTTTGGTGTTGCTTTCTCTGAAGGAATACCTTTTGTAAAGAAATTCGAGAAAGGCATGACAGAACATTTAGAGGCCCTCATATAGGAAAGAAGCCTGGTAAATAGTGAGATGCTTAGAAAGAAAACCATTATTTGCAAGGAAAACCGTTTTTGTGAGGATGAGGTTATGAGATGTTGCCAAAGGATGGGACTTTTGCAATAGATTGTTCATGTTTACATACAACGATTCCTTTATTAAGAAGACATTAAGAAGAAACCAGCGAAATTAAAGATATTTGGGAAACGAACAAACAAGGTTATCTAAAGCTGAAACAAGGGACACGTTCCTTTATATTAATGCTTAACCATGTGCAAAGGGAGGCTCCTTTAGGGGCCTTGCATCATCAAGAATGTCTTTTGCTATTAGGTAAGGAGGCATCAAATCAAATAGCAACACTTCATGATGATGGAGACAAACAATCATTTCAAGAAGTGTTGAACCCTGGGCACTTTGATCTGGATTCAACACCATGGAATGCATGAACTATTGAGAAATTGAGCTATTATGATTCTGCATAGGCGGTTTGGCACCAAAAGGCTTGATGAAGCAACCATTTTCATGAAAAGAATAGTTTACCAAAAATCCCACAACTGTAAACAGTTGTGCAATGTCCAGCTCTCCGAAGATAGGTGTTGGATGGAAGAATGCATGTCAAACATATATTTATATACTCAGAATTCGACATGAGGGATGCTTCAGAACTCACCATTAAAGCTCTAAAGAGGCGGGCGTCGAAGAGGTGAAAGCAAAACACTATACATCATATATCATCATATGAGATATACACATATTGTATCTAATCCGTTCTAATCCTACCAACACTTATGTAATCAAACAAGCAAGTCATATATATGCTGCCGCGAAACTTCTTCAGTTGCTGCAAGAAGCTTCGTGCTGCACTAGCCGACAATGGGGTAATTCCTGCCTTAAGCAGCGACAGTAAAGCGAAGCTCGACTGCCCTACCACAAGCGTGATCACGAGCTCAAAATAACAGCCTTCTTCCACAGATTCACCAATATTGTCGGTCAACAGAACGCCGAAGTCGTCACGTACTGGATCCAACACCGCCCGTTTCCTTGCATGTGCCAGCGGTGTTACATTTGACATCCGATTTGCTTTTTCAACAGGTCTGATGGAATAATTATGATGAAAGTGCAAATCACCTGCGTGTGCGTGCTGGTACCAACGAGCAAACCCAGGAATAAAGCCAACGGTCCTCCCGAGGTATTTGTAGTTCCACACCTGCACACTGGAGACAAATTGTTTGTTTTCATGTCAAATATACAGTGACACATCTTTGTCCGTGCAAAATTGCCTTCCAATAGTCCGCAAAACCATTGTTCAGGAACCATGTCCTGACGGTCTGCTCGTGAACCACCCAGTTGTAGAACGTCATCATGCCATCAAGGTGGTCAAAAACATCCTGAAAATGGCAGGCACCAAAACTTTGCACATGCCAATCAACAACAATCACCAATTTCAATAGTGTCACAAAACAGAGTTTGCCATCGGTTTTTGCCTACCTACAAAACCACTACATCACAGTGACAGTGGGGCTTCACGGTGCAGCGCACAAACAATTTGCTCGCTGCGAGCACCCTTTCTATCGCCAGAAGTTGCAGGCGATGCTATTGAATGCAATGCCAACACCACAACGAACAACTTGCAAACAATAAAGTTATACAGTTATACACATTTGCCACTCTCTTTGGCCAAATGCACCACCTCAACTTTTAAGCTGAGACATTCAAGCAATATCAAGCAATACAATCGACCGCCAGCGCAGGTTGTAAAGCTGTGCTAGGCAGGGCTAAACGGCTAGACTAGACTGGATATTAGACAAAAACACAGAAATCTTCAAATCCATCCTTTGAGATGCAAATCCGCCTCCACCAAAAGCGCCGAGGCGTTAAAGCTACAGCTGTGAGGCGTTAAACATACAACTTTGTCGGAACATCAAGTTGCAATGAATAAATTCAACGGATAAAATAAGATCAAAAAAACAAACGGACTGAACAAATATTTCATGTTTGAATATATTTAATCATATTTGACCATGTCAAAACCAGCTGGCCTTCAAGTTAGCAACGCAAGAACACAACAACTAACTGCCCCCCTACCCGCCAATGACGACACTCTCGGAAGGCATGTTGATAAGAGTCTCGCACTTTCACTCTCTGAGCAAACAACTGGCTGCAACCTGAAGTATGGACATTCCTGCTGCAGAAACAACTCTTGTGCCACGGGTGGGGGCCACCAAATTGCCCAGCAAAGATCTCTTGTAGGCGACACAATAAAGCCAAAACAACTTCTGTTTCAGCAAGGCCGTTAAGTGAATCTCGGGAGCTGTTGAACTGCCAAAAGAGAAAACATGAGAAAACGCAGCAGGGCCTGACTCTCGGAATGGGAGACTGAAGCATTCTACCAGTAGCGTGAGCTGTGTCACAACACAACCTTCGTCAAATATGCTGTGATGTCGCCACCGTTTACTTGTGAGCATGCATCTGCGCAACTCAGTCAAGCGATCGGTTTGAGACCTTTGGACCGACTCGCGCACACCTTCGCACCCAGAAGCATCCGCAACTGCAAAAAGTGGAACAAATAAACATATGACCAGGAAACTTCACGCC